AATATATTTATACATACATACATGCATGTATATATATATATATATAACTATATATAAATATATATATTAATACATGTATGTATGTATGTATATATATATTCTATATATATATATAATAAAAGTTAATTTGCAGTGATTGCGGTGGTATACACCATTGATATGGTGAATCACAGACTTGTTTGGACACTCCAAGAATTTTGGTATATATTGAACTGGGTTTCAGGCTGTGTTTCAGGAGTGTTGTGTATGCTATTCAATCTGCATCAGCTTGTACTTCTACTATCTCATATTCCATACCACTTTTTGAAGGTCTCTCACTCTTACCTGTCTATATCAGCGGCGGATACGTGTGACGACGCAAACGGGGGCTGTTCACAAATCTGCGACGAGACTGAGGGCGAGATCGAGTGCTCCTGTCATTTGCACGGGACCCTACAGGCCGACACGACCACGTGTGTCTGTGATGAAGACTACTACGTAGACACCGAGGATTTGTGGTGTCGCCACTGCAACTACAATCAATGGTCGCAGTGGTCGGAAGACTGTTCGGTGACCTGCGGCGTCGAGGGCGTGCGGCAGCGCACCCGTACCGTCTCTGCGGGCACCACCGAGGCCTGCACTGACACGCTACGAGAGAAGATGTGTTATAACGGATCGTGCCGAGAAGGCGAGTCCATCCAGTATCCATCCACCACGATATCAGCGGATGGCACTAGCAGCACTGCCGAGCCCACAGCGACAGACACAGTGTCCACAGTGGTCTCGTCAAGTACCACTGCGACTTCGGCAACGCTGACCGCGACCGCTGCCGTAGGTATGTTATGTCTGTGTCGGGTTGTTGCTAAACTGATCGTGATGGTCTACGACTTGATATGAATTGCCACTATAAGGCATACAAGCTAGTTTCAGTGATATAGTTTGCGGGCATACAGATGTGTGTTTGCAGGCCACGCAAGTTGCTGCAGCTGTTCGAACTTGTGTATCAGCGAATTCCTATTCAAATCAGGGGCGTAATTTGCTATGATTGTCCACACCACACGCCCACACCAAACGTTTTCGTTTTTATTGGACTCTTCTGTACCATACCAACAGCGTCAAACGCATCAGCTTGCCCAGTATGCGATCTGCATGCAAATTGCAACACCACCACCAGCGCATGCGAGTGCGACATAGGCTACTACGGCACGGGTACCGAGTGCCAAGAGTGTACCGGCTGCAGTTCCGGCGAGTATATCCTCAGCCCCTGCAACACCACCGGCGCCACCACAGACTCTGTGTGTGCTCAGTGCAGCACCTCATCCTGTCCCGATGGCCAGTACCGGCCCAGCTGTACCGGGTTGGGGCTCGCAGATTCCCAATGCATAGCCTGCGCCGCCTGCCCCACGAGCTCGTTCAACAGCGGCTGCGATGCGGATGCGAACAATGGTCCCGGCGTGTGTGTGCTGTGCACCGAGTGCGACCCTTCGCAGTACGTGACGCGGAATTGCACGGTGTCTGCCGATGGCGAGTGCGCGTCATGCCTGTCAGTACTCGCCGAGTGTCTGGAGTGTGACAGCGCCGACACATGCACTAAGTGCTCGGCCAATCACTTCATCCAGGACGGTGGGTGCGAGGATTGCCGGCGAGTGGTGCCGGCGGACTCGAACTGCGATCTGTCGCACGAGGTGTTTTGTAACGGCACGGACGACTACAGCTGCACCACATGTCTCAGCGGGTATGGACACGCGGATGGGGCAGCGCAAGGCAAATGCGATCAAGGTAGGCACTCATGGTTAGAGAGTGGAAGTGTTGTATTTCGATATTGTCATGTGACCCGGAACTGTATGTGAGCGGGTTTGCATACAACGATGACTGGATAGAACTTAGCTAGCCTGTGTGGACAGGATCAACCAGGGGGATCCCTAATCGAATCTCTTAGGGCACATCACATAAATCAGTTGCTGCGCCTCTGTTCATGGACTTTCAAATCCACTCTGACTGAACTGTCATGTGAGTTTGACATACGTAATATATTGATTGTCGGGGATCTCTTTTATCGAACAGTGAACGCCTGCGAGGAGGAAGGTCTGGAAAATTGCCAGATTTGTGAGGAAGGAGCTTGCTTGGACTGCAAGGCGGGTTATACGGACACGGCTACGAAATGTCAAGAGAGTAAGTGCCACAGATGATGATGAAATCGAGTTTACATATCAATACCAGTGTTTGTACTCATTCATTCGGCATATGTAAGCGCTTGTGCTCACAAATGCACACACTTGTTTGTGTCGATAGTCTGTTGTGCCCAATTCTGATGCATCCGTTCTTGGATGTACCCATATGTGGCACCGTACACATCCGTACATTGTCGTTTAATGATACTCGCGCCATTCAGCATACGAGTTCGTGCTGTTCCGCATGAGTATTTTCTCATGCACTTAGAGAGCTCAAGTTCTATCGAATGTATCGAGTGGTGATTGCTAGTCAAGAGATCAGTAATAAAATTAACTCAATCTCCGATATTTTTCTGTTCAGAATGCGGTGGGACCAACTATACTCGAGTCGATAACTGCCTTCAGCATAGATGTGCTATGGAAATCAGAGGCTATGGTCAACCGTCCTGTGCCATGTGCCAGAAGGGGTACTATCGGACGGTGGTACAAGGACTATACGAATGCACAGGTAAAGTCCAGGATAGGGGGTTTGATTGTCAGGTTTCACATATTCAACTACCTGAACGACAAGCTCGCATTTGCGCACAAGGGGCGATCTCGTGTTTCGAAGAATAGTTGTGATATTAAACAACATCATGTGTTTGCAATATACCCCACAGCAGCATTCATGTTGAGATCGTGACGATAGTTAGAGTGAGGCGTGATGACGGCATTTTACAAATATCATCGGAGCATGTTTATCACGTTGTTATTCCTATGAAACGAAACACAAGCAAGTACAGGGAATGGACTGAAGCCATGGGCCTCATACTCATGTCCCTCTCCTATTCACGGATATCTGATATCACAGCCTGCAAGAACTGTACCGTTGGCGAGTACAAGGATGCCGAATGCTCTGGCCTGACTGAGGTCGATGTGGTTAACTGCACCTCGTGCGCTCAGCAGAGTTGTTCGGAAGGCGAGCACATCGCTGGGTGTCCGGGTGATGGCGTTGTGGACAATAGTCAGTGCCTGCCTTGTCTGGAAGGATGCCAGACGTTGCAATCTCTCGTGGGCGTCTGTAATGGCTCGTCGCACGTCGACACTTCGGCATGCGTCGGCAAGTCTACTGCTGATATGATGTATTCTCAATGTTCAATAATACGATTTTTAAGTTTGTAGCAAACTCCTTCAATAGGTATGTAGTAGAATGACATCGGTTCAGCTTCGACCGACACTAGGATTCTACTCTTCTAACGTTGATACTATTTTCGTTTGGTGTCCCTCCCTCAACACAGCTGTGGATGCGGTTTCCTATCTGTCAGTGCCGTGCTCGGAATACGTGACAAATAAAGAGGAATTCGATCAGAGGTTTGCTGCGGCGTTTGAAGCCCAGAACTACAATACGTTGCAGGTAATAGGACACATCAGTATATACCTGCAATCTCGGCGAGCTAGTTTTGTATCCTAGGCTTTATCTACCTATACGTCGGTGTGTACCTCTGTTCTCAAAGTTATTTTGCATTTATAGGTGGTGGGCGATACATGCGATACCTCCAGGCGGCGACAGGCAGATTCCGGGACTGGGCTGAAGATGACGGGTTCAAACGACGATGTCGCAAATTACATAGCGGATGTATGTATTCGATTCTACGCCTTGTTTCATTGTAACAACCCTGTTAGCACTATGCTATGGGCAATGTGTAGTGTATGACAATCCACTCACGTACTTGGCCCGTTTTCTTTTCAGGTGGCGGTCAAAGCACCGTATACCATCGAACTGGGCGTAGTCGGGGTCATGACGTCTTCGGGAGAGATTGTATATCCTGGGTCGGTCCTTCCCCCCGAACCTGGAGAAAGCACAGGGACTTCCGATGGTGACGGGGACGACGGAGGCTTAGGCCAAGAAGACGTCATCGCCTTGAGTGTGTCCCTGTCAGTAGCGGCGTTGATCATCGTTGTGGCCATCGTTGTGATATTTCGGTATGGCGAGCTGAGGGCTCATATTTAAGGACACGTCTCGTTTTTAATTTCGTAGCTAGTGCAAAGCAGAGCCTCGCGATGGTAGTGTGCGATAGGAGGCGTGGCAGTACGTGATTCCTATGTTGTGTGTTGTTAATTTCTTCCAATACTGGCACTCAACATTTTCCACTCCACCAGTAAACGAATCAAGACCAGCCGTAACAGCGCTCAGGATTCGAGTGATGAGGAAATTGAAGACTTCCGGTACAGTTTGCAACATCTCAACAAGAGTGCGTCCTTCACACACCCGCCTGTCCCCACTACAGTCAGCATTAAGGCTGGGGCCTCTTTGCGAGGTATTACACATTGATTCGTTCACAATTTTCTTTGGAAATGATACCGTTTTTTTCAATGATCTCTCCCAATAGTGCACCGGATTCAAACGCTTTCATTCCCTCAATTTCTCCCTGTGCGTGTCATTCTGGTGCAGATACGTTTCATAGTAGAAACGGGTCCGTGTCGGACAAATCGGACATGCTCTCCGGCTCGCGTGGCACAGGGGAGGACGGCAGTAAAGTATGTGAACGTCAGCAGCTTTCGGTTGACTTCGATGACTTCTCGTTGATGCTTGTACTTCCAATACTCGCACCACGTGCCCGATGATTCACCCTCCTGTGTCACGTGACATCCTTTCCCCCATATACTCCTCCGAAGTTGCGTGCAGTCCCCATGCCGTTGACTAACCTTCGCTTGTCTTTCCTTTCCTCTCAATTGACAGCTCCTGCAATTCGGCGCACACGTTGTCGCACTCCAAGAAGCCCAGCAGAACTCGCTGCCGCCGTCGAGTGTTCGAGAGGTGGCCGTGAGTGCTGGGATGGATCCGCAGGGGATTGCGGTGATCCAACTGATAGGCGCGGGTTCGTTCTCCACGGCCGTGTACGAGGGTATGCTCTACAGGCCTACGATGGTGCGCCCGTACCAACCCATTGCGATCACACAGCTCTACCGGGGCCTTGCCAGCAGCGCAACCAAGGAAGATGAGGTAGGTTGTGAGTTCAAGATGGCATCCGCAGGTGGGGTTTTAGGGGGTATAGGGTTGGAACCAGGTATTTGGGAACGTTGTAACGTCCCTTTTGGCGTGCAAACACATGCTTGTATATTTGATACCACCGCATGTACCAGTCTGTCGTTCGAAAGCATGAAAAGGATTTACTCTATGCGGAGCAAGTGCAAAGGGATCTCCATCATCGCCGCATCGCGCGCAATGCTCCAGACACTTGTTTTCGATTGTTCGTGGGACTGCCATTGAGACTCGGTGTAGATAAATAGATAAGCAAGTGTTCGGTGATGTGTGGGGGACAAGTATCGGTGGAGATAAATAGATAAACAAGTGTTCGGTGATGTGTGAGGGACAAGTATCGGTGTAGATAAATAGATAAACAAGTGTTCGGTGATGTGTGGAGGACAAGCATCGGTGTAGATAAATAGATAAACAAGTGTTCGGTGATGTGTGAGGGACAAGTACTGACAAACTCGTTGTCTATTGCAGGAGCGTGTGAGGCGGGATATTAACGATATCACGGCAGTGCTTGGGATCGCCCATCCGTGCTGTGTGCGAGTGGTTGGTCTCTTTTATGGAGCGTTGGGGGCCTGCGTGGTGTCAGAGCTCATGTTGGGCAGTATCCATTACGTCCTGTGTAACAGGTATGGTCAGAGACACTTCCTGAGAAGGGGGTTTTTGTCTTTGTTTTGTGAAATGGACATCGTTCGTTCCCCCAAAGCCTGTACTGCAACTGCAACAGTATGTATATCGATTTTCATGTTCAGAATGACAGCTAAGCTACTGACGGTTATATCATGCGCAGAGAGGAATACGACACACCCACCAGCGTAAGCGAACGGGCGTGGATGTCCTTCCAGGTCTCACGGGGAATGCTCTTTCTGGCCCAAAATAATATTGTGCACAAACATCTTCGCGCGTCGAATTGCTTGCTCACCCATCCGGATAGCACTTCTCACGGTCACCCGGTAGTGAAGGTAGGTGTGGGTTTGCTTTAGAACACTTTTACTGCTGTTATTTCTAACCCGATAGCCTCTGTATGATGTTTTCAATTGTTTTGTTGTACCTAATATTTCGGTGTTTTCTTTCTTTTGCAGATAACCAATTACGGCTTAACTGCACCAATCCTAGATTATTCTGTTTCAGGTATGATTTGTCGGGAGGGATGGGGGAATTGTTGATTGTTTAGGTTTGATGAGACAAATTTTGAAATGTGTCTGTTCCGCCGCGCAATTTATTGCGTTGTCGAGTTGTCCATTTCCTTGGAACAACTACAATCCTTACAGTTTATAAAGGACGTGGAATACAGTCTTTCGGACTGTTGCGAACATATTTTTCATCATTACTTTTATTATTTCCTTTTAATTTACCATGCTGTAGATGGCAGCCCAATCCGATGGTATGCACCGGAACTGTGCGAGACGGAGAATGCCACAGCCACAAAAGCAAGCGACATGTGGGCGTTTGGTGTGACCATGTGGGAGATATATGGAGAGGGCTCCCAGCCATACCCAGAGATGCGTCAAAGGATGCGATTCAGAGAGGATATGTCAGCGTATCTGAATGCTGGCAACAGACTGGCGTCTCCACATGGCTGCCCCGAGGTAATGGAGATGCTGTGTATGGCTATGGGCACCCCACTGAGAGTTGATGCATGCGAGCTGAGCACTGGTTGTCTGGTGTGCGACAGTTGATGCAGTTGATTTTATTTTCCTGTGTGTGGAAGGGGGGTTTAAATTTTTTTTTTGCTGACTTGAATGAATCATTGTTATCGTGCACTGTGTAGGCTGCGTTTAAAGCTATGGAGTCGTGTTGGCATGAAGATCCGAGTGCTCGACCAAGCTTCCAGCAGATGGCCACAACGACCGGTCAGATATTCTCTGAACACTGTGACAGCGAAGTTCATGTAGAGGTAAGTCCGTATCAATCGGTTGCGTCGATGTGTACCACCAATTTCCAAGTTGTTCACATGCTTGTTATTGAGCTAAATGTTTATACATGTTTGTCGTAATGCGCGTTTGATTGCAGAAATTCGATGGCGAGGTGCGACTGTTCCCTGGGCCTCCGCGGAACGAGCCAATTCCCATTGAAGACGACGGCAAGTACGAGAACCGGGAAATAATGTATGCGAATCAGAAGGATGTGCAGAGTGGGAGTGGAATCGATTATTTGAAAGAGGATGAGTGAAGAGACGCACGGAGTTGAACTCCAACTTTCATCTCATATTAAGGAGAATCAGCCAGATGCTTGTTGGGGCGTGGCGGATAGGGCTATGGGCGGATATACATAATTATATCGGACAACAAATTTGGCTGAGGTCTGGACTGGTAGGCAAAACGTTATGAGAAAAATAATAATACACAGGTTGATATCAGGTTGGTAGATATGTAGTTAGTTTTCGATATAAGAGGCACAGACAAAAGTCTCGCTGAAGATCTGACGAAAAGGAAAGATTAGTAACTAGGCAATGTTTGCAGAGCACGTCAACGTCAGGTGGGAAGGAAAATCATATAAAGAACTAGATTATTAATTCCTATATGTGCTAACCAAGCTCTTCGGTATACCTTTTTATCGTTTCAAGACATACTATTTCGTTTCAACAGTTAGTGTTCGACATACACAGCGAACTCATTCCTAGGTCCAAATAGATGCGTTTATGTGGTACAAAATTGGATCGAAACAAGACCGATGGAGTCATAATATAATTCCCATGGTGTGTTTCGGGCTAGTTCCAGGTTCGAAAGCCACTAAAAAACAAGCAGTAGCTGATTTAGGTCTCACATGCTTAGGCTTGTCCCCACGTGTGCCCTGTCTGATTCGACAGTCATTGCAGTCATATCAACAGGGAACATACTCAGAACTGCATTGTACTCAAAGAAAAGGACAAGGTTACACAGCAGTGATAGTGAGTATCATGTGCCTATCATACTGATTAAAGTATTGTGTTGGCGACGAACGGCGTCGTATATATAATCTGGGGCAGGACCGCGACGCCCAGACGAGGGCTAGTGCTGTATACATTTCATTCGACTTTATTTCCATTCGATGCGTTTTGTGGTCAGCTCAACGTCTACACGCTTCTCCGAAGTAGAAGAACACTCCGAAACAAGTGTGAAAGTGCTAGTGTGCAGCTAAGGCCGTTTAGGCCGATTAGGCCGTTTGAGAACGAGGCGTATTGTATTGAGCTCAGAATTCAGATACTGAATTTTGTCACTCTCTGAGCGGAGTGTCAAGGTCATCCCATTAAAACATTATATCCGAAGTGGTCGGGACAGTCATTTCATCTCAAGCCGCACCGAGTTCGGACGATTTGATGTTTATTGTTGAGAGTTCAGAAGGAACCATTCGAGTGCTCTGCTAGTCGAGCAACCGAGAAGACTGATATTCCATCTATCTGGATCAAGACCAACTTTTGTCTTGGGGAGCACAGATGATACTCGCAACGTCGGAAGAGATCAGAAAGTAGTACGTCCATTCGAATTTTCAACCGAACTCCTCCGTCAATAGGGCTTAGTAAGTACATCCGTACAACCCTCACTGAAACCATATCAACTTGCCAGGAAATGCTTACAGTGTACTCAATAAGACAAGGCGCGTATATCGTTTCACACACACACAGACACAGACACACAGACACGCAGACACACAGACACACACATATATATATGTATG